TATCAAGAATTTAGATATTTCCGTACCACGAAATGCTTGCATTTAATAAATTTATACAATTGGTGGTTCCACGTAACTAATGTCTGAACGATTATGGATAATATACGCATCAACCAATTATGTTACATTTTGTTAACAAATTACTATCAGCTTACATAAAGGAATATGTACAAAAACAATTTTTGAAATGATCGTATTTATCAAAATTCCATAGGACATAGACATCGTACTGTATGTTATTAAATTATTATTATAAAACTTATATAAACTGTGCATTCTTCGAGTGGAGCCCGTGGACTCTTACAAAATTATTTATTTCACATCCACGGCGGCGTCTAAAACTAGTGTTTGTTTACGTCACATGCTTGCCGGGAGAAAGCAACAGGTACGAACACGTGTGACCCGGATCTGTACGCACGCCCTCAACATACAAGTACCTGGAAACAGTGGACACGTTCACAAATCGGTATTTTGTGTCGAAAGCTAACACAACAAAGCTCGAGAAGGCAAAAGACGAGGAGTTATTTATTTTATTTACTCTATTTCCATGTTGTTATTTTCAAAAAGTGCTGAACCGTCAAATGCCATTAAATTGTCGAACAAAGCGCTATTACGGACTCAGTGTTTGTTTTCAGAATTTGTTTTTGAATGGATGAATAGAAAGTCTTCCTTGACCGTTTGGCTCTTGTTGACGCCTTTCTTTTGGAGGCCTGTGTTAATGCGCCACTTTTTTTGTTTACCGTTGTAAGTACTTTCCAACCTACCACTTCACAGGTCGGTTAGACGCACCTTTCAGACGCGATCTGTTGACTATTACGTAGATAAAGTAGAAGAGCGATCAATAGGATATGCAAAACAAAGCAAGGTGGCGCACACGGCAAAACCCATGGACAAAAACCAGGTCAAATCGTATACCAGAAAATTTTGGAAATTGGATATCCGAACAAGTGGAGTTCTAACGCATTTTTGTGGTTAAACTGAACGATCACGTCCCCAATGTAAAACGTGTCGCTACTAAAAAGTGATCCGGTTCGATTATTTTAAGTTTACTATTTCCCCCCTCGAGTGTTTCATTAGCTATGCAAATAGATGGATAGATAAAGTAAAAAAGCTTTGGGGCGTGAGTATTTACCCCCCGGGTTTCTAAATCCTATCTCGGTATTTAGCTGACTTGGTTTTTAGCGCAAAGAACATATTTTGTACAAATATATGTAATCGGGGATGGTTCCGTCGAATTAGTATTAGCACTTTCCAAATCACTAGTTGTAAAAATCTGTTTCTCGTGCGTAGATAAAGGTTTAATTCAACTTTTTTGACGTCATTGATTACAGGGCACACCCTTTTTCGGACGAGGCATAGTTTTGTCACGTTTGGCGCACGGATTCGCAAACAAAAGAATTTGTGTGGAAAATTATTTTGGTGACCCCTTTACACCTCTGCTCTATTGGTATGTGCCAGGCATGCGCAGAATACAGTCACCATTATGGCCGACGAGGGTGAAATTGACAATAGTCTTGGAATGTAAATGCTACGGTATCTCGAATCGACCCAGCGAACTGCTTTGAATCGCCACCAAACTAGACTTTGAAGTGTTCTTAGCTCGACCAAATATGCTGAAAGTGGTAAGACTCGAATGGAAATCAGCCCGTTCTACGCAAAATCATGGCACAATTTGGGGTCTTCGAAGAAAGACAGTTCGCGGTGTGTGCTGCTAGTAGTGGCGATTAGTGGACAGAGTAGGGTGTGAAGCAGGAGTTCAGAAACCATATAAATGCTGTTTGCAGTAGCTCCGTTTTGCTGAATGCTTCCGAACTTTGAAAGGAGGCGACAACTGTGTCTCGAATTTGACTGCAGTTTCACGTCGCCTCGATTGGGGGATACATTCAACCACGATCTACTCGTGTTCTGTGTTATTGACAGGCGTGATTTCTGCCGTGAGTCTGTGTCTGTATTCTATATCGGCGTGACGATCTACTAATCGATACTGTGGGCGGTCCTAACTGATAAGAGACAATGTTTACATCCACTAACCCAGCGGCCGGAAGGGGTCATCATTCACAAGTAGGAGCGAGTAGCGTAGAACACCCCGTTCATCACACCGCTGCTCAAAATTACGAATTTTCGAATGCCCGGTCACAAGCCAGATTTTCACACGATAACAACCACCCCAATGCTGGCACAGTGTCGCATTCCGACGCTTTAGTGGAAAATATGAAAGGGTTTGAATGCAGTGATTTGGACAATGCTTTACTCAGCGGACAAGCTCCACCGAACGGGGATTTTAGTTTTCCGTTTTCCAACGGTCAGGGACAACACGCAGCGGCGATGCAGCAGTCACGTATGGCAATGGACGCATCACATAATTTTAACCCAATGAACCACGGTCGAGCGAGTATGGACAGTTTCCCGTTCGACGAGCATCAAGGCGGCGTACAACAACAAAATAGACCACGATCTAGCCAACCTTCCCTCTCCGATTCTGCAATGGCTGATGATTTTCACCAGTCAACGGAATCCGTTTTTAGTCCTGCTTTACAGCCAAGTATTCATCAAGGGGAATGCGACGTCGATTCGTACGGGAGATCGACAACCCGACGCGTTTCGGAACCGTGCCCAACGCCTCTGCCAAGCCACGCGGCGCCGTATCAACGTACAAATTCATTCCCGGCTGAAAACACGACAATGACGACCCAATACGGCGGGTTCCCCGGGAATCGAGGGATAGCACAGAACGGAGCCAACATTGGAAACACCGTACAAACTTTTTACCCGAATCAGGGCGGACATTCCAATACACAAAATGTAGATACTAGTTTACCCGGGATTTATGAAAGGAACGCAGATACGCAGACCACTTCAATGAGCCCACATATGCATGGACAAAATGTAAGCTACAATAGGGCTGCATCAAACATACCCGGCATGAATACTTCCATAAGCAAGCCAATGGACTTTCTTCCACAGGGTAACCTTGTACACAATATACCCTCGTCTTATCAGGGCCAAGGTATGGCATCAAATATGGCTTCCACAAATACAGTGAATAGCAATCGTCTTCACCATTTGCCACAGCAAGTGTACCAACAGTATGTTAACCAACTACCACCACAGGCATCACCGAGACAATTCCCACCACACATGCAGCCAAATCGGGTGAGTCATCCTCATTTTGTTAATGCCAGCCCACCTTACAGTACGGCCGGTTATAGTGGACAGAGAAATTTCCAGTCAGCAGAGTGTGCCAAACCAGTGTTTCAAGGGACAATACAGGGTAGTTTCCACAGAAATTCAAATGTTCCTTCCATGCAGAACATGCCAAACTTGCCAAGGTATCCCGGGGGTCAGTCTGGGGGCCATCCGCGGTATCCGGCACCACAGCAGGGATATAGAACCAATTCAGGGGCACAATTTGGGGTTATTAGGAGTGGGATGGAGTTTCAAAATCCAAATGGTGGGGGCACCCAGCGACTGAGACATTTTGGACCGATGTTGGAGAATGGTGCAGTACATCCCAGGTATCAAACAGAACAAATGCATGGGTATCCAAGGCAGGCAGCAGTTGTTTCTCCAACTGGTAACTTTCCCGGAATGCAGCAAATGAGTGAACCAGTTGGAATGATGGAAGGCAGACCAACTTCAAGAGCCCCCCAGGTACCAATGGGTCCTGGCATTCAGCACAGACCCAATTATCCTTATAATCAATTGAATGGAAATTATCAAAGTAATAATGGGCCGAACACACTTCAATGTGGCCCTGGTGAACATTTTCAAAATGCTGCCCAATTTGCAAACATGGAAGCAACTCCCAGACCCACTCGACCTCCATTGACAACAGCAGCATCATTTGCACAAGTGCTACAAGCGATGGCAAAAAGAGACCACACACTTGAAGAACCTAATCAAACTTGGGCTGAACTTGGGTCCATTCAGAGTATTCACACTCCCCCTGTACAAAACAGTCAACCCATTGATGCCCAGGAGCCCGAGCTGAGTCCCGGTGTTCCATACTCTGATGATCCTCGAGGTGAAAAAAGGGGTAGTATGCTATTCAGTGCAGAACTTGAAAAACTAGCAAAACTGTCTCGAAATCCTGCTTTTGCAAATTTTCCTGAAATAACTGACGATCTTCAAACCCCAGATATGATATCTCAGCAACAACATCAACAACAACAACAGCAGCAGCAGCAACAACAACAACAGCAACTAACTTCACAACCACAAAATGAAGAAATGAGAATTGATACTGAACAAACTTTTGTTGATGAACAAAGTGGGCTGATAACAACAAGCCAACATATTGCAAATTCAAACACACTGGACATGGTAGAGAGTGGGCTGCCAAGTTTTGAAGAGTTAGTTTCAGATAGAAACAACACTCATTTGCCTGTTAGTAAGGTTGAAACTACCCACCTAAAAATGCTAGAAAGTCCAACAACAACAGCTGTTACCACAACCACTTCAGTATCCACCAGTATGCCAGTACCTGTTACCAGTGTCCAACAATTTCAACCCAAAACTGAGAATTCTCCCTCTGTGGGCACTCTCAGTCCAGAGGATTTCAAGGAAATCACGGACCAGATTGAAGCAAGTACACCAAAAACGATAGAAAAGACAGAAAGCCCCAATCATGTCAGTGACACAATGGAACTGATGAAATCTGACATCCATCCCGTGGAGTCACAGAAGCTGTTAAACAGTTGCAGCGAATGACGCAGTCATTAAAAGAAAAACAGGAAGAAATACCGACAAACCGGCATGTGGAGTATTTGTCGGTTAATTCAGAGCCCCAGTCATTGTCAAACGAAAACTGCATTGCGGCTCTTTCTGCAGCATGTAGAAACATGATAGCAGATTTGGATAGTCCAGTTCAAAGGTCGGTGAATCATCAGCTATATAGTGTTGTATCGGATAATGGAATACAAAGTCCTAGTTATGAGCAGGTACCAAGTCAGTATCCAACAATCCAACAGGGTATGGTTCCTTCCCCATTTATGCCACAGAACCAAACATTCCAAAGTCATGTACCACAGCTAGATAATTTGAGCAGTATCGGATGCTCACCCATCACTGATGGGGGGCAGCAGACTCCAAATTCTGTTTCTTCCGGGACTTTCCATCTCCAGTATCAGAATTTTTTGCATGACCCTCCCATGGAACTGGCCGAGCCGAAATCCACGTAGGAAAAGAGCGCGTAAAAGAGACGCATCGCTTGATGGGGAGGAACAACCAAAACGACAAAGGAGGAAAAGGAAAAAAGCTGATGACACAGTCAGCATGGAAGGTGAAAACAATAGTATTGAAAGTGGCTCGATCATTGGTAGTATTGACGAACAAACAAACAAGCTACTAGAAGAAGCGTCTTTGATCAGCGAAAGTGATCTTTGTGGCTCCCATGAATCAAATTTAGGGCACCATGAAGGTGCAACATTTTTTAAAACTGAAACCACAGAAACTATGCTCCCAACGCCTCCTGACATGCAGAGTTCAAGTCCATTGGATGCGGTCACCATGGCAACAATTTCGTCGGATTCTCCACATATGTTAACATCTCCTACATCATTGAATTCTCCTGCAAGTCAACTCCCTACGTCTAATGAAGTTCCCAGTGGGCCACAACATCCCCTGACCCCATCAAACTCGGAACATTGCAGCAATAACAATAATAACACTGTTCCAAAAAATCAACAGAACTCAGAAGTAAATAGTTTGTGCATGTCCACGGAGATAGCGAATCACATATCAAGTTGCCCTAGTAGTGTTAATAGTATTAGTAATGATAGAGAGGATCTCTCTTGTCCAGTCTTTGATGGAATGCTATCCAGGCCCGATAGTAGTTGCAGTGTAGAAGGCAGTCATTCAAATATGAATTGTGAATTGGAGGACGGGGAAAGCATCACCCCTAACAGTGCATCCATTCAGAATAATGGCCTGTGCCACCCAAACACTACCGTTTTCATGTGCACTGCTGGAACAGCCAGTGTTACGTCGACGTATTCAACCTCATCAACTGCTGGTCTATCTGCGGGCGTTGTTTGTCAGCAGGCACCTATTAATAGTGGGCAACCCCCCTTGAACAATAACCAACCAGAGGAGGCCCACCCACTGGAAATCCTGCAGGCACAGATTCAGCTGCAGAGGCAACAGTTCAACATTAGTGACACTCGACCTCTGCCTTTCAAAAACCAACCCAAAGCACCCACGAGCCATAAAACGAAAGGCACCAAAACGGCCAAAGCTGCAAACCAAGTCGATGTGGAAACCTTACTAGCTGAGGAGGACTCAACGTGGTATATGCCCACTGATGCACCTAAGGAACCTACGAATATGTTGCCATGGGAACATAACAAGAAGACGTCTGATAAAGGTAGGACAGTTTAATATTTCGCAAGACATACAGACACCTGATAGCTGTTAGAATGAGCACGTTTTGCGTCCTTGGTAGATGCATCTAATTTGATGAACATTACTTTTGAATACACTTTCATATATTTTATACCAGCGAAGTGATTAGAAAAAAAAATTGTATAAGAGCATTAAGTCCTTTTTCTACTATCTGAAAAAACACTAACATTATAAAATTAAGTGCATTAATTCCGAAAGCTTTGAAACAATGATCACCGTTATCTACTTTATACCACCTCGAAGAAATTAAAGTGCTCTCTCTTGGTGTCAAAGGTCAAAGAGACTTTCTTTACATAATGACAACATCTAATTTGGAATTGAGTGGATATTATTTTGTGGGATTAAAAAGAAAAGAGTAATCCTGAGTTTTTTTTAAGCTTAATTTTTCAGTTGTACATAATTATTTTAAGTGTTTTCTGAATGCCCGTTTCAGTCGCTTGTGTTTTTCATCTCTTGTGTAAGGTGTTGACGATGTCTGCCACGTAATTTCTTCCACCTGTTTTATAAAGTTGTGAATCAGAAAATTTTTTTTTTTTTTTTTTCTTCAATAAGTTAGTCACTTATTATTTGTGTATTGTTTGAATGCCACAAAAGTTTGGGGTGGGGGTGGGAGTGGGGGTTGTGGTGGTGGGTTTTAAGAAATGTGACACACAGTAAGCTGGTTTAAAGTATTCATGAGCCAAAGACACCTTCAAGCAGTTTCTCAAGCTTGACTGCTTCAACCAAAGTGTGCTCTGATTGTATGACTTGCCCATCAATTGTGTGTCTTCATCATCTGCTCACCGTCTAGTAATGCAAAACTGCGAGGCAATGCATTTCGCTACTTATTAATTCCTGGGGCTCTCGCCATAAGTCAGCTTGTGCGCTCTGAATATAAATACAACGACGACAGCACTGTTGTGCACTAATTCCCCCTCCCACTTCGTTGGAATAAAAGCACTCGTAACGAAACTCAGCTACGAGAATTATGCAATTTTTTTTTTTTATAAATTTCAGCAGCGGTTGCCCAACTGCTGGATTACCATAGCATGAAAAGGACTGTCTCCTACGAGACAAATTACGGCAGTGTAACAAAACCATGATATTTAAATACCCTAACCTCCTGACATCTGACTTGAATGGTGTCGATTTCACTGGCATATCTAGTGAGTAGCTGCGTTGCATTGAACCAGGATTGTTCTAGTTGTCAAGTCTATCCTCGCCCTTAGTGATACATACTGTTTATTACATTTTTTTTAGGATTAAAAAAAAAAAAAAAAAATCAGTATAAATCCTAATTTTCTTCATTTAAAAACTCTACTTCACTGATTTTATCATTGCCGTGAATTTTATTAAAAAACAGTTGTGTGTAAAAATTATGTCTGATAAATTTTTTGTTTAACTTTAAGTTTGATTTTTATTCAAACATTTTTTTGGATGAAAAATTCATATTTGAGCCAATTTTATTGAAATTATATTTTTCAACTAATTTTAATTTGATGGAAATGTCAACATTTCCTGGAAATACAGAGTTTCTAATTCAATCATTGATTCAAGCCCCTGGTAGTAAACTTTTAAAATTCTGTCCTTCACAGTTTCCCTGTTAAAAGTGCTTTCCCCATGCAGGTTAAATAAACAACCATTCCTAAAATTTGTATAAGTTTAGAATGCGTTTGTTTTTGTTTATATTCAATGTATTTTTCAAGGAGAAAAGTGCAAGGTCTGATTTTGTGAAGGTTTCGCTAAAATGGTTACTGCGTCCATGGCAACGCTTTAAAATAAATGGCATTTCATGGGAAAATTAGTAAGAAATTCTCAAATTGAGTTGAATTAATAACCCATTTTTCCATGTAATTGCAATCTGCTACCAAGGAAAGAATTAAACTGACTAGATGATAAAAATTCTCTCACAAATGACAAGCTACCAATATTTCTATTTTTCGTTTTCTCGTGAAATTTTACTTTTTTTTTGTTTTCCCCAATGTATTGAATTTGCAAAATTTGAAGAAAACAATTAAGTTGGGTGTGGAAGGTTGTGGATAATTCCTGCGCTACATCTTTCACAATACTGAACACTGATTGGTGTTTTCCGGACTCGCAACACCCGAACAATAGATCCATTTCAGTTACTTGCAAGGTGTTCCAGTTATGCAAATTCTGTTGTTTGTTGGTGTCAGCAATTCTGTTATATCAGGTGCCCATTAGTTCTGTTGTCACATTGTGTCATTCTACTAGTGCTTTTAGTGACTCTCTCTTCCTTTACAGGTCTCGCTGTGTCAAATGATTTCAATTTTGGGTTTCATATCTTACAAACATCTACTGTGTACATTCTTGGCAACTAAGGCTGGTGATACAGTTAACATAAACTAATTACAAATAAAAATGTTGCAAAAAAAAAAAACATTTTTAATTTTAAAACAAATTTGGCTTCTGTATTTAAAAAATAGAAAATTAATGAAAAATTACAAATAATTAGAATGTGTGAAGTATTTTAACGCATTTGTAAAGACAGGACTAAAACTAAAATACTAATTATTGCTCAATAATATATACATTTATTATTTCTATTTATTATTTAAATATAATGTATGACTTAACCAATATTTTACTTTATTTTCATGCGACGAAAGATGGGAATACCAGCTGTTATTATTAATAATGATTGTTCTACCATAAATCGTCACAATTGCACAATCAGTACACAAATAAAATTATCTCAGTTTTATGCACAAAATTTTAAAACATAGAATTACAATCAATAATGTTTGTTTAATTCAATGAATAAGCTTTTGATGGTTCTCTCGTTGAAGTGGTTTGGTTATGTGTAACCAGGTGAAACATGGAAAACGTGGCAACCTCTCTGACATTGCAAGCTCTTGCGTTTTTAATATATTTAGAGTTAAAAAAAAAAAGGAAAAACCAAAATCTACTTGACAAAGAAAAAAAAATCCTTTGGTTAGCAATTATCTTGTTCCACTGAGAAGAAAAACTTCCACCAATCATCGTTACTACACTTCCCATCATTAGGTTTTAAGATACGAGTACAAATTTTTTTTTTTTTTTGAAAATTCTTTCCCAAATACAATAATGAGAGCGATTGAAATTATATTCCTTTCTTTTTTTTTTTTTTACTTTTTTAGGATGCTTTAAACGTTTACGATGTTAAGGAAATATAAAAGGTGGTTAAGTGGTGTAATTTTGTTGCAATTGAAAAAGAAAGCGTCTGTTGTAAACTATATGTATGCAAATCAGTAAAGGATTTAATTGAATATCCTCCTAATAGAGAAAATGTTCTCCCAAAAAAACCAGAGTTGCCAATCCTAGTCATATTTTTGATGAATCACTTTCAATCCCTTGACTGAAAATATTTATATTCGTCTACGAATTTGTAGTTTTCAAGATTGAAGTGGTGTTTAAAAAAATTTGATTTTCTTTTTCCTGTTTTGATCAAATTTTGCGATAAATTACCTCCGGCAAACACGTGTGATCATTAGAAAGTGTGCGAAAGGTTGCCTTGAAAAAATTGATAATAAAAACATGCTACGGTGCGTAATTTCCACCAATTTACTCCTCAACGTCTTCGCTTCACAGTTCAGTAAATCCATTCGAAAAAACTGAATATACAAAAAAAAAAAAAGGAATCAAAAATTTATGCTGCTTTTATTAATAAATCAAAAACTAATTTTCATTTTTTTTTTCATCTTATTTCAGCACATTCAGTTTGACGGTGTTTTTTGTAAATAACAAACTTTTCATTCTAAACTAAATTTTTTTTGGCTCACTGATAAATGCTTTTATAATTTATTTTTGGAAATAAAATATTCATTGCTTTTGTTGCACGTCATATAACTGTAAAAAAATGAATTTTCGAATACTTGACCTTGAATGTATTTTCCCAGATTTGCTTATTTTCCCACTGAACTTTTTTCGGAGTTTTGTTTTGCTGTAGTCAAAATTTGCCACCATGGAAACGATCAAAATTCTTTGCCCACAGAATTGCTACAAGAATTGTATTAATACTTTTATAACCAGTCCAATAATCTTGCCTGATTTCTGATGATTTTTAACAACCCAACTCGTGGAATGTGTTTTTAAAACCCCTTTTTTATAGCTTGTTATAAACTTAAAATTATTTTTTATGTCTGAACATGAATAGTCCAAAGTCTTAAAAAGAACCTGGTATTTTCAAGGGGGGTGGCTATACATTGTATTTTTACTGGAATTTTATTTTTTTCTGCTTGGAAAAGGACTTCTTGGTTTGAAATATGTGATTTCTTTTTGAATTTGCCATTAACCCTTAGAGCGACTGACTCCAGTCATCATTTACAAATTTAAACCCACGTAACTTTTCCCATTTTTTTTTCAAAGATTTTTTTTATCAGACCTTGTAGGCTATGTCAAATTATATCTATTTGGCTGAAAATTAACAGAAAAATTCCCAAAACAATTTCACCATATTTGTTGCTTATTTATTTTTGGAATCACAGTGAACATTTCTTCTGAGTCTTTAGACAAGCAGTCATAGCGTATATTCACTTGCGTCTTCAAGACAAGTCACAGTAAAATTTTGCTCTTATGAATACGCTTCTATGCAAATGCACACTTTGACACCTGGAATAAACTCTAAGGAATAATAAAGAAATCTCCACAGAAATCCATCCTTGAACTTTTATCAACGAACAACCATCTCTTTATCAATTTAAGTGTTCTATACCCTAAAGTGTATTTTTGGCACCGTCTACATTGTATGTCCCGCTGAAATAATCCTTGACATCGACTTCTACTAAAACTATGAGCTTCTTTACCATCATTGAACGTGAAAAGTAACTTTTTAACATCAGCACTATGTTCACGAGAAATAATTTTTTGAAAATAATAATAAAAAAAAATCTGGTGTTTCTTTTTGCGGGTGAGTGAATAAGGAATGACAATGCGACCAGAGTCCAAAGATCAACATTTTTCTTGGCATTCATTCAGAATACA